AAAGACCATACCCTTTTATGTAATGATGTTTACTTTGAATTTATATTAGTTCACACAAACACTCCATCCATGCTTTAGTTCCGGCCCTCCGGTCCAGTTTAAGAACCCATTGTGGCCCTCGAGTCAAAAAGTTTGCCCACCCCTGTTCTAGAATGTGGCTACTGAGTGCTCTGGGTCCAGGAGGAGGTGGCCTGGTTGACTTCGCGTTTTCAGCAGCGTTGAAATATAACAGAGCTGGCGTTAGGTGCAGTCATCTGTCAGCATTGTCGGGTGAATTAAAGGGAGAGCCTCCCTGAATGCGGCTGGAGCAGTCCGCCCTGGTGAGAAATGTGTGGTGTGACAATGGAAGAGGAACGGTGATGGGGCACCCTCTCCTCCCTCCACCACCTGGAGTGGGTGACCCCCAGGATGTTTTGATTCCCAGTTTGTTGGGAACATTTGCTTAACTGCTGAGTCGGATGAGGTGCAAATCTCTGTGTACACATTTTCTATAGCTTCCAACAGCCACTCTTGGAGCACAGCAGAGCAGCACCAATGTAGTGCTCCCAACACCTGACTTCAGTCCTGGGGTTAGAACTTTGTACATTTTAGAGATAGAGCCCCTTCCCACCCCCACCCCCAACCCCCCAAGAGAAGACACGCTCCTGACTTCCAGGAGAGAAGGAGGCTCTGAGTGAGGGTTTAAGAGGTAAGTGGCTGCCTCAAGGGCACACAGCTATGAGTAAGTGGGGTCACAGTGAGGCGCTGTCCTGAGCTGTGAGCTCTAGTTGAGCTGTGAGGAGCTGCGCCCACAGTGCGATTTAAACAGAGGAGGATTCTGATACTTGAAGGTTACAAATGTGTTACTCAGCATCTATTCACGAGCCCACACTGTCCGCACAGCGGGCGTGGGTGTGTGGGTGTGGTGACTGCATGTGACCTTTGGGCTCCCTGGAGGGGGCTGCAGACCATGCCCTCAGAGGCTTGGTTCCCACATGGGACAGGGGCCTGGCCACAGAGGGGCATTGTCCCCAAGTCCCGGGCAGGACTTGGCTGAGACCCAATGCCCTGTAGTGTCAAAATTCTCATCCCACCCCACCCCCATGTGCAGCAGATTCGAAGGCAAACATGTCATGGAACAACAACTGTCAGAAGCAAGGTGACCCTGGGACAAGGTGGCCCTGGGACAAGGTGGCCCTGGGACAAGGTGTCCCTGGGTCTCTGAGCCTCTCGGGTCCGGCTGTCGCTCCTGCTGAGGATATGCCGCGCTCCCTCTGGCAGGACAGCCCCTCCACAGGGACCTGCTCCCTGAAATCCCTTCACAGTTGCTGGCTCTCTGACCCTTTGTTCAGTTGGCTGATGGTGAATATAGCACACAGGGGTTTCCTGATTTGGTGGAGGAGGAGAGAGCTAATTTTAACTGCCTTATGTCACATTGAGTTTGCTTCTTGTTTTTATTGTAATCTCCATTTAAAAATAAACCAGCAGCAATCCAGCGACTCGTGTTCTCCAGAGCTCCCCGGGCTTGGAATTCATGTCTAGCCTTTGGTACCAACCAACTCTGTGACCTTATTTCCCCTCATAAAGCGAGCAGGGCGGGTGACGCCTGCATCTGCAGGCTGCCCTGTGTGGCCATCCCCTGACCCCTGCCATGTTTCGTGTGACCTAGACAGTGTTTTATTTTCTAATTGAATTTAAAGGCCTTTAAACTGGGCAAGCACTCAGGGATTTGCCATGGTCCCGCCCTGCCCACCAGGTCAGTTTGGCACGTTTCTCACCTGCCTGGCATCGGCCTCCACCATCCCTGGTCGGTATTCTCTGGGTTTCCTTTCAGCTGAAATTGTCTGTGAGTCTAATTTCTCTGCAACTTCAGGTCACTTGTGCCTCCGCCTGACTTGCCCTTTGGACATTGGAAGAACTATTTTCCTCAATGGAAAAAAACAAATCACATGTCTGATGATGGGAAAAGCAATGACATGGTCACTCTGAGATCAGCAGGCCAACAGGTGTTATAACCTGTAATGTAGCTTTGTTTTATTTTTATATGCTAATGCT